TATATATATATATATATATATACACACACACACACACACACACACACACACACACACACACACACAGTTATACAGATACTTAATCTTAAATATTCAATCTTAAACACACTTAATTTTAAATCATGAATCATCAATAACTTACTAAAATTTGGTACTAAAATTGGTACTTAATACGAAATTTATCAAGAAGTAACAACTGAAACCATTTGAACACAAAATACTTATTGGCCTTATAAACATGTTAAATTTGACTTTAGTCTTTGCAACTTTACAGATCTTCTTTATGCACCAAGAGCTTGTAACACTCCAAAGAGAAAGGAAAAATTGAAATCGCATCATATGACCCCTTTAAATACTTAATCTTAAATGTACTGTACAGCTGGCTAATAAAAGCACCAGTAAATCAGTTTTTGCCAAGAGTGACAGGTTTGTGTGAAAATTCCCTTATATGGAATTGGAATACTCCCAATTCATTAACCTTAGAACAACTTTAAGAACAAATTCATGAGTGTATGTGATTTAGGTGGAAATTTTTCATGAGAAAAAATGTTTATAAATATAAACTATCCATGCAATTGATAGTTCATAATGGACGCCTAAAAAATTCAAAGGGTCACACATGTTTGTTATGTAGATGACTGTGAATTCTTTCTCTGAATATCTGTTGTACTGCTTTCCATACCTTGTTTTTGGTGTGTAGAAATTTCCCCCACTCTTCTCCATCCACTCCTGTGGGAAACAACATTGACAGTGACATTATCAGTGACACAATACTAGGTCACATAACTTTTACTTTCTTCGGACAGTTTACTCTGCTAAGTAGGATAGGCTTTTGTTCCACAACAAAATTTTTCAAAAGCACCAGTACAGCAAATTAAACAAAAACTGCTACAAAACAAAGGCCAAGCGCAGTGCATTGTGGGTAGCACAGCATAACTAGCTTATTCTTACACACACTGTCCTAATAAAGACTTTGAATCTTCACTACATGGTGACATTTAAATAACAATTGATGACTGTTAGTGAGTTATTAGTAAGTAAACAGACATTCAGAGTCCCAAATCGCTCATACTCACCACTTCAAATCTGAAACTGAAACTGGATTGTACACTAAATTCTTCAGTCTTGGGTTGTTTAAGCTAAGCCACTGCAGCGTAACCAAAGCTTATAATCAAATAATGGAAGCAGGATGAGGAAAAGCACAAAGCTGCTCAACACAAGCAAAAGGGCAAGGAACAAGGAAAAGGAGACCTTTGTAAAGGCGCCCATTTTTCCACACATTGGGGTCTGTGTTTAAAGAGAGATGACAGAGGGTTAGCCTGCAGCAATGCAGTCTTTATAGGACTCTAGAGTAGCCAGAACCACACAAATGCAGAGACGCCCATGCTAAAAGCTTCATCGATGGATACTTATGAACTAGATTCGTTTTTTTCACATATTTTATTTAAACAAACAGCACACAGGAATAAATTGACTCGGATCACTACCTTTCCCTTTCTCTTTTGACTTAGTACCTGACACCACTGCATCGCCATTGATTGAGCAACCAAATTAGAAACAAAGCAGCACCGAGAAACCTAAATCCCACAGACACACACTGCAGGTCATTAATTCATGCTTTTCTGAAATACAATTAGAAAAAAGCAGATACCGTTCTCCTCGCCGGTCTTTCTTTTGTCCTCTGGGTCTACGTGCACCAGCTGGAGGATGAGAGGCCTGCGGGTGACGATGCCCGTCCCACGGGGCAGGAGGTCTTTGCCAACTAAACTCTCCAGCACTGAACTCTTCCCGCTGCTCTGTGATTGAGATGATCCACAAAAACAAAGAAAGTCAGTACTGACTAAATACACCTGGATTTCTGAACATTTAGGCCTAGTTAAGAAAAAAATATGATTGAAGCAACTAAAAGTTCACTGTTGATCAAACCAGTACCTTGACAGTTTAACCCTACTGCATCATATTTGAATTTCTAAAGCCTCTAAATGATCAACATGATCAAAACTGTCAAAAAACCTGTTATACACAATCTACTACATGCCTTCTGCCATCTGACTGTTAGTTTATACGTTTCAGAAAGTAAAAAGCCTTTTAGTCTAATTGTAATCTTTGAGAAACATTTAGCTTTTCATCCCTTAATCATCATTGTATTGCATTGCATTATGTTTTGCCCCACAATAAAAACTTCAGCTTTAATTATTAAACCAAGCATTTAAATATCATCTTACTAAGACATATTATTGGGAGATAAAGTGTGACAACTGATATTGTTATGCATTTTAATAGTCTGTTATACAGCATTAAATAATCTCATTTCAATCTCATCACTATGTTTTAGCTATATAAATAATAAGATCAGCATTAAATTGAATATTTGCTCAGTTTGGGCCTCTGGATAAAATTGAAGTTTTTTTTCCTCCTCAAATGTGAGCTTCATATTAACCACTATATGGGGAAGTCGTGGCCTAATGGTTAGAGAGTTGGACTCATAACCCAAAGGTTGCGGGTTCGAGTCTCGTACCGGCA